AGACAGAGAGCGAGACAGAGAGCGAGACAGAGAGCGAGACAGAGAGCAGCAGAGTTAGTTTCTGAGAGTTGATCGTTTCCCTCAGAGCCTGCAGTGACAGGATGACTGTGCACAGTTGTTGTTTATCAGCTCACAGGCAGCTTAGAAACACATGAATATTTAAGGCAGGAAAACTCACAGTAAGCATCACCTGCTGTCCTTCCTGTCATTACACTTCAATGTCTTGTTTAAATTATATGAACTGTAGCAACAAAACAGCTTGACGTGAATAACAAAGTATATCAAGCTAAATATGTTCTGTTCAGCAGTTATTTTAGCTTTTATCACGCATTTAAACTGTCTGTAAACAAACTGGTTTGCTGTATTTTAATGCCGCTCTGATTTGGAGACAACTCACCGGACGGTTTGTTGCTTCAGGACAAAGACATGTCAAACAGCAGAGGACAGCTAACGAAGAAAACGGAAGCGCTAACACCGCTCCGCAGGTGAACTCTGCCGTTCTCCTCAAAGTTTTTGCCTTCAGGTCTTTCTGTAGACGGAGTCACCGCCGCTTGTCTTCTGTTTTCGTGGTTATTTTGAATTACGAAACCTGCTGACCAACAAGGCTTCTTCTAACCCCGCCATTCTCGACAACCAGGCAGCAGCAGCTAGCGCTATTGTATATACCCCGGCGCTCCTGGAGCGCATGCGCAAAAAGAAAAGGGGGTTATTTCCGGAAGCTTTAATTCGAGTATTTCAAAATAAAAGTGCAAAGTAGTCTGCGGCAGAAAGAATGACCGGCTGGGATTTTAGTAATTTACCATGGTCAACAGTTTTGTCTTCGATCTTACCCCCCCCCCCCCCCCCCGGGCTTTTTTAATCGCTTAAAGTTGTCTTGAGCAATATTGCTCCAAGCTTTAAAATCTGTCACATTTGTGTTCGATTTTTTGTTGTTGTTGCTTTTTAAAATCGGTTTGCTTTTCACTCGAATAATCGACTCACTCACTGTCGAATAATTTTCTAAGTATTTTTGTAAGTATTATTTGTTTGTTGGACGTTCTAACAGAACTAAAAATCACTCTCAAGTATAAAAGAGCACAACTCAATGCGTGTCCACACATGGCAGATAATTAGCAAAGACGTGATTATAAAATTAATCTTCAGGCAGTTTGTTACATTCTTCCTGTTTCAATTCTTTTGTTAACTTTGAAAAAAGCACGATAACAAAGTTTGACTGGTTTGACTGCGCCTCTCTCGTATGGGGTACCACAGGGCTCAGTTACAGGGTCCCTCCTCTTACTCTTGTTTGGGTCCATTTTTAGAAAACATGGCATTTATTTTCATCAATTTGCAGACAACTATCAGTTGTAATCTCCCTAAAAAGACTCGACACAAAGGCTCTAGATCATATGTGTCAAACTCAAGGCCCGGGGGCCAAATGTGCCCCTCGTTAACATCTTATCTGGCTCCCAAGATGATATTTTAAATGTAAAATGCTTTTATCACTTTATTTTTTTCAGTAATCTTTGATTATGATGTCAAAAGTGCAACAGAAAATGTCAAATGAGACCAATGAAACTCTTATTGAGGAACCTGTGACCAAGAAAAGATGTTGGGTATCTAACTTGAGTTAATGTAGATTCTGAAACCAGCCCTTAGTTTGAAAAAGGTTTTAATTTTGCCCCCCTTTTGTAAGTGAGTTTGACACCCCTGCTCTAGATGGCTCTGAAATTTTTTGTTTGTTGAAATTAGAAAAAAAAAAAAAAAAAGTTCCTGGCAGCTCCACGGACACCCGTAGATGTTCCTTGGCCTATTATAACAAGCTAGCCATCACAAAGCTGGGAATGCATGGTCTTGGAAATTACATCAGAGCAGTGGTTAATTTAAGCTTTTGTTTTTCAGGTAAAGTAGCAGGTCAAAGTAAATGGTAAATGGACTGTACTTATATAGCACCTTTCTATCTAATCAAGATACTCAAAGCGCTTTACACTACAATCTGTGTCTTCATTTACCCATTCATACAGCACTCTACTAGATCTCTACAAAGCTAATTGAACAAATCATTCTAAAGAGACTAATCAGAGCTTTATCACATTCATACACTGATGAGGGCAGCACGGTGGTGCAACCGGTAGAGCTGCTGCCTCTCAGCGAGCAGGTCCTTGGTTCACACCCCGGTCCAGGGGCCTTTCTGGGTGGAGCTTGCATGTTCTCTCCGTGCATGCATGGGTTTTCTTCGGGTGCTCCAGTTTCCTCCCACAGACCAAAAACATGCATGTTAGGCTGATTGATAACTCTAAATTGTCCCTAGGTGTGAATGAGAGAGTGAATGGTTGTTTGTCTCGTTTGTCTCTATGTGTCCCTGTGATGGACTTGTGACCTGTCCAGGGTGTACCCCGCCCCTCACACAGTGATTGCTGGACATGGGCACCAGCGACCCCCGTGACCCAAAATGGAATAAGAGGGTAAAAGATAATGGATGGATGGATACATCGATGGGACACACATTGGAGGCAACGAGGGGTTCAGTGTCTTGCCCATGGACACTTGGGCATGTGACTGCTGGTGGATTCGAACCCCCAACTCTTGCATTGGAGGACGACTGCTCTAACCACTCAGCCAGTAAATCTACTTGTTCTGGAAAGCACTGCCACTTATCACCACCACTTTGCTGGTTTACTGCAATACACTTTAAATAGCGCTCCACACTTCCTCTTTTCTCACAGGGGATCCAAAATGCTGCTTCATATTTTTAACTGGTACAAAACAATATGATCACAAGCATGAGCGGCCTGAACATTGTAGGGTCCGTTTAAAATTATTTTATTTATTTTTAAAACATTTAATTGTCTTCCCCCACCTGAAGCGTGATGCAGCTTTCAGATCCTGTGTAGAGTTTGTGTAGCCCCATCCCCCTTCAACCCTATTTAATTTAACATAAAACATAACATAACAGTTCAGTTCAGTTTATTTCTATAGCTCCAATTCACAAAAGAAGTTATCTCAGGGCACTGTACAAAAATATTCACATACATTATAAATGTCAATTATTAAAGTTATCTATGTAAACCACTGACATTTCATGGTTTGACAAAAAATTCTCTTAAGGTCTGAAACTTTTACTGTTATATTCAGTTTGTTCTTTTTTTCCTATGCTGTCATATTCAGGCTCAAAAAGTGGATAAAAAAACAAATAAATGACAAAGCAACCAGAATTCAAAGAAAATCCTTAAGACCTGTAGAAAGCTTAAGAAACTAGTCATTGAGTTCACCTTTTCTAGTACAGCACTGCATTTTATGTTAAAAAATGTAAATATGACAAAATATGAAAGTTAAAATATTATCAAACATAATTCAATAGGATACAACTCCATACTTAGCTTCAAAACAAAGTTTTGAAGTGATTACAATTTAAGTAAATAATGAATCTTCTTCATACACCAAATGTAGTCATGGAGTTCCTCAGGGTTCAGTGCTTGGACAAGTACTCTTTACTTTATATATGCTTCCATTAGGTAAAGTTATTGAACCACATGGGATACATTTTCTTGATAAATCCTATAGTTAGGGTTGGCTTGTTATGTTACCATAGGCATAGACTACTAGAGGACAAATGAACCTTATTTTCTTAAATGAAAAACTGTGAGGCTTTTTGAAGGAATTTAGTTGTACTTTTTTTCACGGGCCATTATTTATTTTCATTCTTATTTTCTCCTTTTCGTGTGCCTGACCATTTTCACTGACTTTATTATTTGTTATTCTCCTCGACAGAAACCTCCGAATCATTCAAACCTAATTCAGTTTGAGGTTTTATTTTGAAGGGGGCTATCGATGCGAATCCATCCAATCAGAGCTCAGAGATCCAGGAAGTAAACGACCTCCATTCAAGTCAGATGTTGCAACAGGAATTGAACTTCCCTGTAATTTAATGCATGTTTCCTCGAGCAAATATTCTTCATTTAACCCAATAAGAGAGGAGTTCACAGAAAAAAAGAATATTTGAAGGTAAGTGAACAAAATATTTAGTTATTGATGGATAATCCTGTTTATACAGCATATTGTGTGTGTGATAAATAAAACGCACATAGAGACAAAATGTTGACGTTTTCACCTCATAGTGATGATTAATCTCATTTCTGTGCTCCTCAGAGGAAAATCTTGAATAAGTTTTTAATTTTTTTAATCTGAAATTAAACTTTGATTTTAAGTTATCAACCTATTAATAAAATACAACCATTACTTTTTAAAAGAAGCCCAAACAGGCAACAGTTCCTATATGTTGGTCAATCTGCCTCTCAGCCTGGGAGCTTTCACAATTCAAACTGTAAAGTGTGGCATGCCAAATTGTGGTAGGGGGAATGATTTGCATGTGAGTTCAGCTTGCCTAAATGAAGCAACTCACTTCCTTTTTAAATTTGCTAAAACAAACTAAAACTGAATCCTGGTGTGTGCACATGTATTAGTTTCTCAGTTTCACCTGATGAAAATATCCCCACAGCATGATGCTGCCACTGCCGTGCTTCACTGTAGGGATTGTGTTCTAGGGGTTAGACTTTAACCACACCAGGCGTTGTACTTGATGGCCAGAGATCCAAGTTTTAGTCTCAGTGCGATGTTGAAGGTGTGGGATCTTTTTAAAACCCAACCCTGATCTGAACTTCTCCACAGCTTCTCCTCTGAGCTGTTTGGAGTCCTCACGCTGCCTCTTGCTCAATGGTCGACCTTTCTACTTTTAGGTGTTGACCTGCTGTTATGAATGGCACGGTGGAATAGTGGTTAGCTCTGTTGCCTAAGCAAGCCTGGCCTTTCTGTGTGGAGTTTGCATGTTCTCTCTGTGCACACGTCTAGGTACTCTGTTGTTCTCCCGCAGATTAAAAACGTGAAAGAGTGAATGGTTGTTTGTCTCATTTTGTCTCTATGTGTCCCTGTGATGGACTGGAGACCTGTCCAGGGTGTCCCCCACCCCGCCTCTCACACAGTGACTGCTGCATACAGGCACCAGCTGCTCGTGATTCAGACAGAAAGATGTCATATAGAAAATGGACGGATGAACTGCTGGTTATTCTGGGAGCTCTCAGAGCAGATTATAAACACTGAAATCATTTTATGCTCAGATTTCTCACAAGTGTTTTGTTTTTAACCAATTATATGTCCTCTGAATGTAACTGAGCCAGCGAAACAAACGCTGTGAATACGTATCCATACGCTAATGTTCAGTTTTACAGAGTTTAGAATGATTTAAAACTTTTTTTCCCTCATTTAACCTTATTTTATGAAAAGATGGCCACTGTAAACAGGTCTCTCTTGTAAATGAGTCCTCATGACTCAATGAGACTAACCTGTATTAATAAATGTTGAATGAAAAGGTGACTTTAGAAAACACAAAAGCCTCTTTAGTTCAATCATGTTTACAGATATTGAGCAAAATGTTCATGTGGTAGTAGCTGAGAGTCATCCTGAACTCCACATGCTAACAGAGAGCTCACCTAACTTTATTGTTCAGATTCAACCAAAGAAGCTGCAACTCTTGTTTCTCAGCACAAGATGATTTTAGTCTAAAACTGGTGTGAAGTGCGGTGGGAGATATATTTCCTTCAGTGCTAAGCCTTTAATTAGTGTTTGAGTCCCTGTGTGTGTTTTTGTGCAGATGGGGTATATGACAGTGGAGGAGCACAGCCCCACACTGCTTCACCTGAAGAGATCTCCAGGTATCCGCTCGTGGTCTCTTCTCATCGGTAAGAGAACCTCATAATCCACCCACAATATAAACACAACAACCGATGACGCCCATCACCGAGGGCTTTAGTGAATGTTTGTAGTTTTTGAATGGAGTTATTATTTTTCATTTTTGCTTCTCCAAAGCGGCACAGAGTGACGGATACTGGAGAGTGGCAGGAGCAGTTTTATCCACCACCCAGGCACAGTAGAGGAGCCAGGGGGTGGCCAGTGGTGGCCTTGGCCACCATAGATTAATGTTTGGCCACCACAGTCATTTGAGGAAACAGTACTTTTAAACATTATAAAAACTAGAAAGCAGTTTCCTCAAATGATCGAGGCGGCCAGTTTATATATATATATCTTCTTCTTCTTTCGGCTGCTCCCTGCGTTAGGGGTCGCCACAGCGAACTAAGTCGCACAAAGACTTGGCAATTATTTTTTATGCCGGATGCCCTTCCTGACCAACCACAGGCCACCGAGCTACCACAGCCCTCTGTGTGGAGCAGAGAGCTGCTATCAAGGACACCCGGAGGAGCAGATGGTGGGGGGTTAAGGGCCTTGCTCAAGGGCCCAGAGTGGGACAAATTAGGGTGGGGGCAGGTGTGGGTGCTTCACCTACCCCAACCACATTTTTGATGTTGTCGGTACCGGGGCTTGAACCGGCGATCTTCCGATCACAGGCCCACCATCTCTAACCTCTGCATCACCACTCATACATATACATATACATTATATATATATATATATATATATATATATATATATATATAGGTCCTTCTAAAAAAAATTAGCATATTGTGATAAAGGACATTATTTTCCATAATGTAATGATAAAAATGAAACTTTCATATTTTTCTAATTCATTGCACACCAACTGAAATATTTCAGGTCTTTAATTGTTTTAATAATGATGATTATGGCATACAGCTCATGAAAACCTGTCCCAAAAAATTAGCATATTTCATCCCACCAATGAAAGACAAGTGTTTTTAATACAAAAAAGCCAACCTTCAAATAATCATGTTCAGTTATGCACTCAATACTTGGTCGGGAATCCTTTTGCATGAATGACTGCTTCAATGCGGCGTGGCATGGAGGCAATCAGCCTGTGGCACTGCTGAGGTGTTATGGAGGTCCAGGATGCTTCGATAGCGGCCTTAAGCTCATCCAGAGTGTTGGGTCTTGCGTCTCTCAACTTTCTTTTCACAATATCCCACAGGTTCTCTATGGGGTTCAGGTCAGGAGAGTTGGCAGGCCAATTGAGCACAGTAATACCATGGTCAGTAAACCATTTACCAGTGGTTTTGGCACTGTGAGCAGGTGCCAGGTCGTGCTGAAAAATGAAATCTTCATCTCCATAAAGCTTTTCAGCAGATGGAAGCATGAAGTGCTCCAAAATCTCCTGATAGCTGCTGCATTGACCCTGCGCTTGATAAAACACAGTGGACCAACACCAGCAGCTGACATGACACCCCAGTGACTGTGGAAACTTGACACTGGACCTCAAGCAATGTGAATTCTGTGTCTCCTCTCTTCCTCCAGACTCTGGGACCTTGATTTCCAAAGGAAATGCAAAATTTACTGTAATCAGAGAACATAACTTTGGACCACTCAGCAGCAGTCCCAGGCGAGATGCTTCTGACGCAGTCTCTTGTTCAAGAGTGGCTTGACCTGGGGAATGTGGCACCTGTAGCCCATTTCCTGCACACGCCTGTGCACGGTGGCTCTGGATGTTTCTACTCCAGACTCAGTCCACTGCTTCCGCAGGTCCCCCAAGGTCTGGAATCAGCCCTTCTCCACAATCCTCCTCAGGGTCCGGTCACCTCTTCTCGTTGTGCAGCGTTTTCTGCCACACTTTTCCCTTCCCACAGACTTCCCACTGAGGTGCCTTGATACAGCACTCTGGGAACAGCCTATTCGTTCAGAAATTTCTTTCTGTGTCTTACCCTCTTGCTTGAGGGTGTCAGTGATGGCCTTCTGGACAGCAGTCAGGTCGGCAGTCTTATCCATGATTGTGGTTTTGAGTAATGAACAAGGCTGGGAGTTTTTAAAAGCCTCAGGAATCTTTTGCAGGTGTTTCGAGTTACGTCGTTGATTCAGATGGTTAGGTTAATAACTTGTTTAGAGAACCTTTTCATGACATGCTAATTTTTTGGGACAGGCATTTTGGGTTTTTATGAGCTGTATGCCATAATCACCAGTATTAAAACATTTAAAGACCTGAAATATTTCAGTTGGTGTGCAATGAATCTGAAATATATGAAAGTTTCATTTTTATCATTACATTATGGAAAATAATGACCTTTATCACAATATGCTAATTTTTTTAGAAGGACCTGTATATGTATATATATATGTGTGTGTGTGTGTGTATATATATATATATATATATATACATACATTATATATATATATATATATATATACGTGCATTATATATATATAATTTTGCCCTAAAAATATTTTTATCATATGTATAAGAGCCTATCTTTAGAGTTGATTGTTTAGGCCATTCGTTTTGTTAACAGCCATTTGGTGAAATGAAATGTTATATCTTCCTTTCTTTGAAATACATTTTTAAATCATATCAAACTGTTTAGCTTACAAAAGCAGTAAAAGCTTAATTAATTTTTTTCTTTTTTTCTTTTTTTTTCGGGTTCGGGCCTGTAACCACAGTTCAATGACTGGGTCTGGTCAGGTTCAGAAAAAAATGTCTATGGGCTGTGGCCGGGTTGGGTTGGATTTTTTAGGCCCAATTGCAACTCTATCTTGGATTTTGACATGGCAACAAAATTTTTTTAGGAACCTTTTTTAAGCCTACATGTATATGCAGCCGCACACCAAAATAAAAGTTGACACATTGCTTATTTTTCAAGTTATTCAACTCACAAGTTTTACTAGTATTCATACTGTATAATGTGGCAGCCATCTTGGATTTTGACGGCAACTCATCTTTTGATGGAGACCATTTTTTATGCCTAGATGCACCCACACACCAAAACTGAATTTGGCACTTTGCTACGTTGCTTATTTCCAAGTTGTCCCGCTCACAAGTTTAACATGTGTACATATTAGAGTTGCATTCGGGCCTAAAAAATCTGGCCCGGCCCGGACTGAACCCATATCATTTTTTCCGAGCCTGACCTGAAACCGACCAATCAACTGTGATTACAGGCCTGAACCCGAAAAAAAAACTTCTTTAATTAAGCTTTTACTGCTTTTTTTAAGCAAATCAGTTTGACATGATTTAAATACGTACTTCCAAGAAAGGAAGATATAAGATTTATTAACAAGTCAGCGGATTAATATAGTTATAATATTATAGTTATTATAATATAGTTATTAACGGTCGTCGGCCGTGCGCGTCTGCTGACGCAGCGGCTGGGTCCAGTTAAGCTGCAGGCGGGTCCCTGGCAGTGATCCATCTGGACTTTTTTGTACCTCTTTTAACCGGCCGGTCAGCGCGTGGTCAAACGGCCGTGAGCGGCTGGTGGTGATCCAAATTGGATCGTCAGCCACACGCGTCTCCACTGACGCAATTAAAAGCCTGACACCAACCCGGCCCACCCATCCAGCACATTATTTTTGCCCGGTTTAGAAACGATAGCTCTAATACATATATGGTGGCAGCCATCTTTGATTTTTACATGGCAACCCAATTTTTGAAAAGATCCTTTCTTTTGTTTGCGCTGCTGTTGTTATGCCTTATTATTTTGCATTATTAGTGTTTAGTGTATATCTTAGTTACTATTTACTCTTTTCACACTCACAACATGCACAATGGATGGAAGTTTTTCCAATTCCCTCTCTTCACTCAGTGAAGTGGGACAACAAACTTCCTTCAGATAATAAACCTCCTGCTCTCATTGCAGGCATCACCTCTATTGGGCTGGCAGCTGCGTACTACAGCTCAGGTATGGTGTTTACTCACAGGCTCATATTTCTGTTGAATCCTTCATTCAGAGATGGTGTGTGTGAATTCCACAGACAGTGTCCCGTGGAAGCTCTTCTACATCGCAGGCTGCCTGTTCGTGGCCATCCAGAACATGGAGGAGTGGGAGGAGGCCGTGTTCGACAAAACCAAAAACCAGATACAGCTCAAGACCACTAGCCTGTACGCTTCGGTCCTGACGTTATGGAGGAAGGGGCAGGAGAGAGGTCCGTGAGGACACCAAGTGCTCGGTGAATGATGTTCCCATCAGTGTGAGGGGGATTCTAACGTCTTGTCCTTTCAGTTGTGTTGGACCTCACACAGCTGTGTGACGTCTGTGTGCAGGAAGAGAGGGTGCGTTACCTGGGGAGGGGTTTTCTCGTGATGCTACGTTTAGCTGCAGGCTTCTCCTACCCCCTCACTCAGAGCGCCACCCTGGGCGGCCGCAGGTAGGTTCATCAGCAGTTCCAGCATGTGTCAAGGTCTTTTAGCACAACTCATTGTTGATACTCAATGTACCGTAATGTTCCGACTATAAGGTGCACTTAAAATCCTTTAATTTTCTCAAAAATCAACAGTGAGCCTAATGTATTATTTCTGGTTGTGCTTACTGACCTCAAACTGATTTTATGTGGTACACGGTGTACAAAAATCTGTCAATGTTTTAGTTTTGCTTAATGCGCCTTATAATCCGAAAACTACGGTATTTAAATTTTCATGATAGAAAATGCTTAAATTTTAGGCTTTGACACTCCTGACTTGAACTTTGTTGATCATGAAGGATAACAGCTTTTGAAACGTTAGTTTAAAATAAGAAAAGACACTTTCGGTATTTGTTTGGGGTCGTAGTCTCGTTGGAACACCCAGTGGTGACCAAGGTCCAACAGTAGATACTTATTTAAAACGAAGATGAAAGATTTTGTTGTTGTCCTCTTTCTTTTCCACGATTCGATCCTCTTTGCACATTGTAGTTAAACTGCTCCCCAACATGATGCTACCACCGCCATGCTTCACTGTTCTTAGGCCTGAAGGCCTCACCTTGACTCTTGTGGTTAAATCATTGTTTGTCTTGTCCGACCATCATACATTTTTCAAGAAGACGTTCAGCTTGTCCATGTGAGCAGGAACAAATTCCAGTCAGACTTGAAGGTGTTACTTTTGAAGCTGGGACTTCTTCTTGGTTCGGACCCACCTAGAGATGTAAACCAGGTTGTGGACCGTCACTCTGGTGTTCCAGCAAGTTCCAGTTCACAGCAGACCTCATGGTCTTGTGGGTTACTGAACAACCTGACCAAGTTCATTACATCTGAGGACAATTCTTATAATTCTCATTTCTGTCCTTATGTATTTTACTAATGTTAAAGAAAACTTCAAACAAGGTTCAGTCAGCCCCTCTGGACGGATTCTTCTTAGTTGAAACGTTTCATCTTTTATCCAGAAAACTTCTTCAGTCTGAGATCTTGTAACAATAAACGGCACCTTCTCATAGTGGATCAACCAGTTTGCTGCTGACATCCAGAACTAGCTGTTCACATGATCAAGAAGGACCATCAGCCTAACGATGATCTTCTTTTACTTTCAAACCATTGTTCCTTGAGAGGAGTGAAGAAAGACGTCTTTGTGAAGAGAACCTGTCCATCATTAAATAACATCACACGTGTCCCAGTGATGGACTGGAGACCTGTCCAGGTGTCCCTTTGATGGATTGGAGA